AAATGTAAATACAAATTTCTCCCTTCATTCCCTTTTTCAGTTTGGAGTTGAACATGGAATTGCCACAAGGACAAATGGGAACCATAGGGGCATCAACCCAAGTATCACAGGAACAAGATGAGCTGACTCAAAGACTGGCCCGTCTTCGTCAAGTGTGATGTCCTCCTTCCGAAAGTCGAACCGTACAATATCCAAGCTTTCAAGATTAATGGCATAAACACCGAAGCTTCTAAATTAGATTTTTGAATCGGGAAGTTCCCACAAACATTGTGGAGTGTATATACACAGCTTAATAATGAAACACTTATTACTTGGAGGAGGAAATTATATTTCAATTATAATTAGTATTCATAATTCATTCTGTAGTCGGTTTACTTTCATTAATTCTCCAAAATGTATCATGTATACTTTTCTTTTACACATGTAAATATATTGTTTAAAGCTATTGTGCTATCAGCATTTTTCTCACGAGATGTACATCTACCTTCAGAAGTTGATAATATTTCAAGGCTCTCTGCTGCAAGGCAAGCATCTTTTCTGAATCATTTCTCATCATATCGTGAAGACATTTCTCCATAATTTCTCCAAAAATGTGCTGGCATTTGGCAGGCATCTTAAGAAACATTTTAAGAGCAGCTGTAAATGTTAAACTCTGCATACCATCATCATAGAGTTCAAAGTTACGAGCCAAGGATTCAAGAACGTACGGTGACTGTTCATCAACCAGTTCTCCAAATTCTCCTAATAAAATAGGGAGAATATAAGGAACATCTTTTATAGACAGATCGATTTTCATTAGTACTTTCCTTATTAGGGTTCTTATTTCGTCATCCTTGAAACCAACCAAGTTGAAGTCCTGCAATCTGTTAAGAACGCCGTCACATGCTATATGGTCACCACTGTCCAACAGCGCAATTAAAACATTAAGACATTCAGAACCAGCAAAATGAGGCATGCGAGTTGATATTAAACATACGCAGGCAATTGAATCTGTACATGTCTTTGGTATTCTGCAGTATTTTTCCTCCAAAGTATGTAAAATTTCTTTGAAATTTGACTCTGTACATATGTACGGTAATACACGGAGCTTTTTCAGAGCAAGTTCCAAATCAGTGTTATATTTCTGAGGATAGAACAGATGCGGTGAATCATAAAATTGAACGAGCCAATCAATGTCTTCAGTCAGCAAAAGAACAAAGTCAAGAACGTGGTTTGCCGATTCTCTGGAAGATCCAGATGATAAAAACTGCTTCAGTACAGTTACGACTCTCTGTATTATTTCAGTTTTAAGGTGAGGGTGTTTTTCTTCGGTAAGCTTCAAGAACAGCTTTACACAGTTCACTACAACAGCAGCACTGGAAGAATGGACGAGGAACGGATCCAGCATACCTAAAAACATAAACATGTGCAAAATATTCAAAACAGCGTGGTAAAGGTGTTACTTGAAATCAATTAGACAAGTTTATTGCCCAAAATCTTATCAGATTTAGATATGTCACAGATTTGAAAAATATTTAGTTTGGCCCTCGAGTAGTCGCAGTCTTTAATGGGCTGCAGTGTCTCGTATCAGTATTTTGCCAGTTCGTTGCGACACAAAAATGTTACACGAATGCAATAAAGTATAGCAGTGGTCACCAACCTTTATGGGCCTACGGGCACATTTGAGAGTTTATGAGATCGTGGCGGGCACCAACCAATTAACAAAGCCAAATTTTCTTTTCTCTGGACAAATAAGATATGGACACCAAATAATACACAAAACAACGCGACGTTTAATGATACGAGAAACCACCCAATCAAAAATACGTAGTTTTATAAGTACAATTATTATTACTCAAGTGGGAAGTTAGTGCGATGTTTGGCGCTGGATTTCATCGGCCAGTTTTTCAAATTTGGGAGTGTAGGATGATCGTCAAGATGGGCATTAGTAAGCAGAGATCTGTGCTTTGATTTTATGATGTTCGTGGTTGAACAGCCTTCATTATTCAGTATAACCTCTTTCCGTAACATCGCGGGCACCCAAAAAAAGCCTTGACGGGCACCACGTTGTGGACCACTGAAGTATAGTGTAACTGACACAATTTCATTATAGTTGAAAAGATTTTTGACACTAATTGTTAAACTCAATATACAGAAAATGTATAAAATGAGGGTTTCTTTCCTGGCACCTTGATTTTCTTTCTGTAGATCTAAGTATACATGAAATTTTGCCTTCTGATGCCATTAACCCACCCTCTATGCCTCTGCTTAGTTAAGAATGTCACACATTCCCAAACACAGCTTGTCGCAGAACGCCTGAGAATTGCCGTAAACAATCACCTGCAACGTTACGAGGTGTGGCTGTACACTCACAGCACAAAGTCTGAAAACATTAGTCTCCTTGCGAAATATCAGTTGCCTATACAAATATAAATCAACAACAGGAAACAAAACAGAAAAAAATAATGCAAAACAAATACACATCAATGAATTCACTTTCAGTCGCTGCCTTCAAGATACTATATTGACTTTCACGCTTACATGGAATCAAATGCTATCCAAACTGTCAGTAGGGGCAGGTTCGACCAAGCAAAAATGTTATGTTTTTTTAACTTTTTTTTTGGAGTTCACAATAGTGCTGTACCCGAAGTTCCAACTGATTACGTCTGTGAGCATGTAAGGCTCGCATCTTGAAGATTCAACCCTCCATCGTCTAGTAAAATAAAATATAAAACAACGTTTCGGAGATTGGGCTGTATCTCCGGTCCGGAGATAGGGATTAGCTCTATCTAGTGGGCCCAACTGAATAGGCACCGGAAGACAGAGAAAGAGTCCAATCTCTGAAACGTCGTTTTATATTTTATTTTACTAGACGATGGATAATATCCAAGAAAATTTTTATTCAAATGACTCGATATCGTCATCAAGAACTTTTAGACTATTTTGTCCTCTGAAGTCATTTTTGCTGTGACCTGAAATAGTTCAAAAGCATTAGAGCTGACACTGAAGTAGTTTTTGGCCGGTGGAGGAGCTGGCGGACGGCCCTACTCTGTGTACCTGAGGTGGCACGGTCAGCGTATTTCTTTTGTTTGGGCGTTCAGTCCGATAAGCTCCTCGGTGCAGTCAGCATTATACTATCGCAAAAGAGACTCGCTCCTAGCCTTCCCCTTGAAAAAACTAGTGCGCCGACTATAAAACATAACAGAAGTATTACGTCTGCATACTTAGTTCTTTAAATAACTCCTCCTCTTCCTGCGGTTTGTATTTGCTGAGGACTTCTAGAACCGTTGCCAACTGTGGATCTGGGAAATCTTCCAGTCGTTGTAAAAGGTAAGCAGCCATGTTTCGACTAACGACGACCCCTCCTTCAGACGCCAGTACTGTATCTAATACCAGAAGACTGCTGGTTACAACCACTGGATCACTGTCTCGTATACTTTCATATAATCTACAAAGAACATAAAACAATTTAATTTTGTAATACGTAAGATATGGTAAGTTTTTACTGGGTCTATTTAGGTGTTTCAAGAATTCAGTGATACTCCGTTACACCCGGGAGACTCTATAGGGCTGGGGCAATGAAATCAGAGAGTATGGAATATGAGAATTATAAATTAGATTTAGTGGCAGTGCAGGAGGTGCGATGGGACGGGGAGGGCGCAATCGCAGTGGAAAAATTCACGTTTTTCTATGGAAGTAGGAACGACAATCATCAGTTACGGACGGGTATCTTTGTTCATAGCAGAATTAAGGCAGCAGTTACGAGGGTCGAATCTGTTAGTGACAGGTTATCTTACGTAATTCTGGAAGGACGGTGCGACATTATTGTCCTTAATGTTCATGCTCCAACAAATAAAGTCATCAAATATTAGCTGTAATGACATAAATGGAACCAAATTTCAATTATGAATATTACAAGGCAACACAAATACAAATGTGCGCATACCTATCAACAAAACCCTGTTCAAACATCAGATGCTGCACATGCTTGAACACTTTTGAGCATCCCATCACCGCTGTTTGTCGAACCCTGGGATTTCCATCCTTCAGAGCAGCATTCAGTGCATGGCCTGCGTGTTCCTGCAGTAATGGTGGAAGAGAACAAAGTGTAGACACAGCCAAACATTTCACCGCAGGATTCGGATCTCTGCAGTCCTGCAATATCGTGTTGGCAGCTAGAAAAGATGCATCTGGGTGAAGTGAACAAATCCTGTTAAAAAAAACACAAATTCTAAGTATTACTGCTGTCGGTGTTTCAGAGTGCTTGCAACCTCATCATCGGGGTGATTACACCCCTGAAATATTAGTAAACTTCTACCGACTAATCCCTATCTCTGTATCGATCGAGCCCAACAGAGGTTTTACCTGAAGACGGAGATAGACTACCATCGCCGAAACATCGTGGTTTTGTTTAGTCTTGCACGATGGATGATGTCCAGAAAACAGTTTGTTTCAAATCTGAAGACCCCATGAACAAAATTTAAATCTTACAGGAATTATTCATCTTTGCAACCCCACAACTATTTTTTATTCCAGACAAGTCATCAGACAGACAACATTTTGCAACAATAACATACAGGAACCCAATACTATCAATTACCAAATTTTGTGTAAATGTTGACAGTTATCTATAAGCAATAATAAGAAATTCAATCAAGTCAAGTTACTTATTGCACATCAATCATACATTTATATCTCCCCAATAAATCCAAATTCAGTAAAGATCAGGTTATGTTAAAGTAGTTTAATTCCATTCAACTTTCTTTACATTTTATTAATATTGGCATTAATAAGCATAAATAAAGAAAAATGTTAATGGCAGTGACATCATATGGGTGCATTAAACACAGTAAATGATCAGCATCATGTAATTTTATTCTTCACAATCATTTCTACGATCACTGTCAGATTTGAGGTTATCACAGCAGTGAGTTTGAAGATCACTGTCTTCTCAGTTATGTCGTGGTCTGATAAAGTTACCAACATTACAGAGGTGCTTTTTGCCTCCAACATCAGGATAATGAGTACCAGCAATGAAATCTCATTGCCCCGATGTAGAGGCAGGAAGAAACATCTGTAAACCTATACCAGACTACGCGGTGCAAGAACACAGAAGTCAGCGAGCGAGCCATCTTTACATAACCACAATTTCACTGTTCATTATGATGCTCTTGTATGTACCTTGGTAGAACTGAATAAGCAGTTTTCTTAACACTGATATTGTGACAAGGCAGCAATTTCACCACAGGACCAATAAGGTAAGTGATGTCTCCTGGTGTATTGACTGTTTCAACAAGCTGTAAAAAAAGTAAAATATATGCACTGAAAAATGCTAAAGATGTTAAATTTTCTGATGTCCAAATCTGTTACTGCACTACATGAAAAGTAATATGTTCTACATAAAAATACTGAACTGCAATTCTGTATACAAACCAAATAACAAAATATAAAGAAGTTATTTCTTTCTTGAACAGTTCTTATGTATAACAAATTTGGCTCTTTGAAGAACCTGTCATTTTATCATTCCACAGATTTAATATTTTCAGTACTCATTTATTTTATATTATATTTCTCCACAAAATTGCACATTTATGTAACAGTATCAACTGTTAGCATATTAGTACATCTGTTAAAATAACTTGTAACAGAGATGTCATGGTGTTAATAGTAGTAATAATTCTTTATTATTAATGTGCTATATCAACAGCCACATAGCCACTTACAGATCCAGCACAACTAAATAATAATCAAATTAACAATAAATTACATAACTACAACAAATGTTAACACACAAAATGCAACTAGTGAGCAATAAGGAAAACATTACTTCAAGCAACATTGCAGTAAAAACCAACTGCTTATTAAAATATATTAATATGAATGAAATAAATGTGCAAAATTATGTCCCATATTTAAATGTAATATTACATGAAAATTAAATTACTTTTGAAGCTGAATTATGATGGAAAATGTTTAATTCTTCATACAACAGCCAGTAAAGCCCAATAAAAGTAACATGTGTTAAAAACTTAATATAATATACAGACCTGATGTAAAAGAATCTTTAGTTCTGTGCTGTCATTTTGCCGACATGCTCTCAAAAGATTCATACCTAGTTCTTCGATTGTACCCATATTTATGCGGACAACTAATACGCATAAGAATATAAAACTGTATAGGGCATTGTACTGATCTTCCTACACCTTCACTTTAATAACACTCGTCATTTTGGGGATTTACATGAAACGAGAACTGGAGTCCTTCCCATTCTATAAGAGATTTTGTGCAATGATATAGTACCTAAACACATCTCATTATTTTTCCAACGTGCCTACCACACAATCACTGGCAACGTAGGAGGCGTATTATGTCACGCATATATTATGGTACCATCTATTAGCAGTACAGCAAAACTATTACAAAAACGATCTGGCGAAAACAGCCAGTGCCACGTGCTCACTCGGCAAAAATGTCGTGAGAAATATTTAAAAAGTGGATTTTAATGAGAGCATAAGGATGCCATTTTGGCAAATAAATTGCAGTATGTCTTAGAATCTTCTAATTTTGTAAGTACATATGTTACTGTCGTAGAATTGCATTTTATAAATGTTTTCAAGGTCAACTGTCTGTCAATTAAGCTATAGGCCCAAATGTTGGAAATCGCAATGATGTGTACGACACTACGTGGCACGTTAAAACAGATGATCTTATTCCTGAAATCGCAATGATGTGTAAGACATAACGAGGCACGTTAAAACAGATGATCTTATTCCAGCAAAGGCCAATTTGTGTCTGTAGTACTTGAAAAATGAGATATAATAATTAATATAAAGTTGAAAAATTTAACCTTACACCTGTCCCAGCTGGCCATGCATTGCACTAGCATACTTTAAAATATTAACCTTCATGTTTTAGAGTCTGGCTGGCAGCTCTATAGTACTAAAAATGAAATTACCTATTATATTAATAATCATGACATCATTCTCTTGCAAAAAAAACCCTGAATTTTAATTCAAGTAATTTATTTTTGCTGTGAGGCTTTCTACACAACTGTGTACATGATCAGATGTCTAAATTTTGGAATCAGGAACATATATGATTTAACAGAAGTGTTAATATTATTAATATGTCATATTTGAAGAGTCTGAAATGTTATCACAAGCTCTGTTACACAATTAATGTTCATGAATGCAACCATAACAATCTATAAAACAATTATTTTATAACATACAGCATTATAAGATATATATATATATATATTATGTACCATCAGTTATATATTCATCTCAATTCATATAAATTTGAATTTAAAACATATTATTTGTTATATCATCATGTTTTCGAAGTCTTAGTCGTTACGTTTACATTAATTTGGTCTCTTTGTGTTCTTGCTGTTTCCCTTGTTTGACTTGGTGTCGCTCTGATCCTCCCAATCATCACAGTTCTGTAATAGAATTAGAAAACTGTCTGTTCAGTCTCAAGACAGAATATTCTCTATATCTGGGATTATCACCCTTTACCCCTGGCATATCAATAATTCTAATTGGACACATTAAATGTACCACTAACCAAATGCATTCAGGGAAAAAAATGTTAGGTTAGGTTAGGTTAATATTATCTTTTGTTTTTCTTACTTAGTTCGCGTACCATAAATTGAGAAAGGCTGCTCTATATTTTAAGACAATAAATTTTAGCTCAGGAGCTCAGAGAATTGAGCTATCTGCAAGCAGATAGCTCAACTGAGACTAATTTTTATTAGCTGTTAGATGTTCACAGATTAGAAGTCTGACAGTAGATACAAAAGTTATCTACATAAAAATAAATTTCGAAACATTAAAAACAAAAATTATGACATGTGATTCAACAGCCTTATAAAAAACAATTTCACGTCAGAAATGGGATTGAGACATGGCAATTTTTATCATTTTGGTTACTGAGCCATACCACAAGTTTGAGGCAGAGCCTACATGAAACTGTAGGTCCCCACTGCAACAGTAACCTATATTAACACCCTATCACCGAGTAACAGAATCTGCCATGTGGGTGCACCCTAACTCAGAAATAGATTCTAGACTTGCAGAAGCTCGGAAAAGTCATCTACTCTTATCTTACTAGGGAACCACTCATTTTCTATCTGTCAGACATCCATAACTCATCAATACCACACCCCCAGTCCCATGCCCCACCACGCCATCGTAAACAGCAAGCAATGAAACTGAAATATAGGTTATGTTATATAGAATTTGACAATCAAATTGTAGAAACAAATATTTCTGGGGCCAGGCTGATTATTATTTCATCACTGATCAGCCTTGAGACTGCTTAAATTACATACAAACTTAAATATGGACTAACTACACATTGTGATAAGAGGTGCGATCGGAAAGTTTCAAGACTGTGTCAATAGAGGGCGAACCGGATGTAGTACGAGCTTCTGCCTTTAGGGGGTGCGGCCTACAT